TGCCCCTGTGGACACAGGCTCCCAGCGGCACAGCCCGCCCCTCTGCCTGAGTCCAAAGGCCCTGAGCTCCCCACGGTGCTGGGCTGAGTTGCAACTAGAAAGGTGCCCGCAGTGATAAAAGGGACAAACCTCTGTGGCTTCCCCTCCCTCGCCAACCCCCCCTGGTGCCACTCACCTTCCCGAAATCTAGGCCTTTCTGCTAAGCACTGAAATGAGATCACGGGGGCTTTGTTCTGGTTCTGCTCATCCCTGTCAAGCAAGTTATGGGGAAGCTGACTTCGGATCTCTGTATAAACTTTTAATTGAGAATAGCTGTCAGAATCTAGGGCATTTTCAGTCACTCGGCCGCCTGTATTTACCATGACTTGTGAATAAGAGCGTAAGCAAGACAGACCCCCTGCGGGTGAGTTGCTGATGGGGAGCATCGACTTTGGGGGAAACAACCCATAAACATATAAAGAAGATAATTTCAGAAAGTGATGGCACTGCGAAAAAAAGAGAGCCCGGGCTCAGCATGGAGAGTGCCGGGTATGGAGGTGGTAGAGGCAGTTGGAAGGGGGTGCTGGCTACTTAGGTAAGGTGACCAGGATGGCCTCGCCGGTCCAGCCACGGAAAGACCCGATGGGACAGCTGCAGGGAGAGGGAGCAGCAAGGAGGCGGGAGTGAGCTTGGTGCGGCTGAGCCACGGGTGGGTTGGCCGGAGCGGAGGGAACCGGAAGGTAAGCGGGGGAGTTGGGTGCGGGGAGGTGGTCGGGCCCCGGGGAGGAGCCTGGGTGCTGCTGTCACCGAACCGTCCAAGCAGGACTTAAAGAACGTATCTATTCTGGAGAAGTGTCCCCGGGGTAACTGTGAGGGCCCTGCCAGGTGAGGTGCAGGGAGGCTGCGACTGTAAGCACTCGCCAGGCCCCCCCACCACATATGGGCCCACCCTGCCTCTCCGTACAGCGGCTGATTTTTAAAAAAATAAAAACGGTCATGAGGGAGTCGGAGGGGTGGTTCCAGAGCCCACTCCGCCCATTTCAAGAAAAGCTACCAAACTGGAGTTTTTCTAGAGACGAGAGAGAGAGCAGTTAGTATCCAAACTGTGCCAAGGAAGAGGAGCGTGGAGGGGCTGGGAACACTCCCCCCTCCTTTCCCCCTCCCCGTTTCTGGGAATGTGGAAAAGGGCTTGGAGTCTGGAAGGGGAAACAGAACAGAACAACGCTGGCCAGTTCACTCCTAGTTTTCAATCAGCTGTAGCATAGACTCCGGGGAGGAGCAATCAGCTTCGTGGTTCTGAACAAGTTGTCCCAAACATGAGGGCCCCTCTGGAGTTACTTAAAAGACAAAAATGCAACTCAACCAACCACTAGGGCCAGAGTTGGTGCCCGGACCGCTCGCCTGGGGGAATGGGAGCCTGGGGGAATGGGAGTTCCCGAGCGATTGCCCCCTTTGAGGGCAAGCCAGAGCAACCACATCCTGAAGGCAAGCCTGTAATCAGGCCCGGCTTCTGGGAGCATGACTCTCCACGTCTCAAGAGGAGCCCTGGGGCTGGGGAGAACTTTCCAGAGGTCGGAGTATCATTCCAAAGAGTTCTAGGAGAAGACAACGAATGTCTTTCCATTTCTGAGCTCGCCAGTCACCCAAATACGAAGTTGTTCCAGTTCAGACCTCTGGCTCAAACTTCGGCCCGTTTCCCTTTATCTTCAGCAGGCAAGACACACTCAGCATGCTCTGTTTCTCCCCACTGGATCCCAACTTTACCTGAGACGTAGCTTTTATTAAATATTTGGTTATGAAGATTATCTTTTTATATATTGTCGGATCTGGTTTAGGACTTTTGCATCTATGTTTAGGGGTGAGATTTGCATGTATTTTTCCTCTTGCTATCCTCGTCAGGGTTACACCAGCCTCTGTAAAAAGAATTCTTTATGCCATAAAATAGTCCGTCACGCATTTCCTCCTGGGCTAATGGAGATTTCCCAGAGAAGACTCCAATCTTCTGGGCGTTAGGGTTCTAGGGGTCCAGTATGACCCAGGACATTCAGAATGCAAATACTCAGAGTCCCCTGAGGGTGCTTTCACCCTCAGCTCTTCCTGACCTCCAGCCCATAAACGTCTTCCCCTCCAAGATCGATGGAGCTGGCTGCTGAGCAGGGGAGGACGTCACTTGGCTGGACAAAGCAGGGAGGGGGCCTAACGGACATTCAACCCTTCTGTAACCTCCTTTCACCCTCAGCCCCCCGAGTGAGGCCACCCTACCTGGTGCTGTCCTATCTGAGCTTTTGGGGGTTATGCAAAGTAAACTGATTTCTTGATGCCATCTCCGCCCCTGGCTCAGGATTCAACATTTCCAGTTCCCCTAAATCGGTCAACAACTTCATCTTCTTTCCAGCTCATTGTTTCTCCTCTCCTGTCCTTGCCGAGCTGTGGATTTGTCTTCTAAACAAATCCCTTTGTCACTCTGGACAAAGTTGAGTATCTCCTATTTTTCACATATTTGCATATATAATTGTATCCTATTAAATTTTGGGTTTTTTAACTATTTTGCCAAAACTGTTAATTTGCTTCATTTTTTTTTAAAGACCCAACTTGTGGCCTTGTTGATCCTGTTTAATTTCTGCACATCTTCCTTATTACCTATTTCCTTTAGGTTTCTTTTGCTGTTCTAAGTTCTTGAAGCAGTTGCTTAGCTCAATTTTGTCTTTCTTACACTTAATAAATGTAAAGAATAAAATTTAAGTACTGTTTCAGCTGCCTCTCTCACTTTGATACATCGTATTTTTATTATTGTGCAGGTTACATTTTCTTTATCATTTCTTCTTGGACCTATGAGTTAATTTCTAAACACATATGGATCTTCTAGTTACCTTTTAATTTGGGTTGCTAACTTGACTGCACTGTAGTTTGCACGGCGTGACGACAATCCTTTGAAATTTGCCGAGATTCACTCTACTGCCCAGTATGTGGTCAATTTTTGAAAAAGTTCCACGTGCTCAAAAAAATGTGCAGTTTTTAGACACTGCCTAGTTGTGTATAGCTGTGCAGTTGTGTATGCACCGCAACGTATAGTTGTTCTGTAGCTATTATACCAAAATTATTAAATGTTTAAATCTCCCATGTGCTCTTTTTGCTCTATCAATAACTGATATGTGAAAATCTTCCACTCTACTAGATTATTTTCCCATATGGTTGTCAGTTTTTGTTTTATGTGTTTTGAGGTAATGTTCTTAGATACATACTAATTAAGAATCTCTGTATTTTTCTGGAGAATCGAGGAAACATAACTATGCAGTGATTCTCTCCAGCGAGGCTTTTGATTTGCGGGCCAATTCCCAGGGCCCCTGTGCCATTTGGCTCCAGGAGGCTGTGAAGAACACACCCTAGAATTAGTCTGCTGGGTTCCTCAGAGTGGCCTTAACTTTGCCGGTTGTTAGTAGAGATACAGAGGGCTTAATTTGGTTAGTTTAATGCCCAGGAGATCTTTCTTATCCTTTGTTATATCCTGAATTGCTGATGTCTCTTGTCAGCTGATGACTGAATTTCTTTTAAAACTCCAGTTTGACAATTTGTCTTTTTTTCTGGGACATATAACCCATTTGTGTATATTGTACTTATTGACACATTTAGATTATTTCTACTGTCTTATTTTGGATATTTTGTATTCTTTCTGTCCCTATCGTCTTTTTATGGATTGGCAACTGCATCCTGTTTACTTTTTGAGTAATCTAGACATTTTTAGCACATATAATTAACATACTAACGCCTAATGTTCACCAGTATACTTTTCTTCTTCCTGAACGACATAGACTTTAGAATGTTTATTCCAATCAACTCCCTCCCTAATTATCTATTTTCACATATTTTAGTTTTATCTCTTTTTGAACTCTATACTCACCTACAGTTATTTTATTTTTTAATTTTTTGTTTTTTTAATTTTTTTTAAGTTTATTTCAATCACTTTGTTTAGATGATGCATATATTTATCACTTTCTTTGATCTACATCTTTTGTTGTATTTCAGACCTTCCATATGGGATCATTTCCCCTCTGTTTGGGCAAAAAATGTCTTTTATTTCACCCTTGTTCCTGAAAGACAGTTTCATTGACTATAGGGTTCTAGGTTCACATTTAACTATTCATAGCACTTTGAAGATATATTTCACTATCTCCTGGCTCATATAGTTGTTGGTGAGAAGTCAGCTGTCAACCTAATTGTCTTTTCTTTGGAGGTAATCTGTCTTCCCAGATGCTTCTGTTTTAAGGTTTCACCACAATGTGTCTAGAAATCGACTTATTTATCCTGCTTGGGACAGGATCACTACACTACTGTAAGCACTTTGGTTAAGGCTTGAGCCTTTATCTAATGTTATCTTGAAAAGTGCTGTGTTAGACAATATGCCCTGCTGGGACTTAGATTATTTTTTATTTTTAATATGTTTTGATTGATTTTAGAGAGACAGAGAGAGAGATAGAAACATTAATGATGAGAGAGTCATTGATCGACTGCCTCCTGCACCCCCCCTACTGGGGAGCGAGCCCAAAACCTGGGCACGTGCCCTGACTGGGAATCCAACCGTGACCTCCTGGTTCATAAGTTGAAGCTCAAACATTGAGCCACACCGGCCAGGAAAGATTTTTGGCTAGTCAGAAAGGTAGCGGGCTCAGGCACTGATGGAAATATTGATTAGGGTGCTATACTTATTGGCCTTTAGCAAAAGAAAGGCCCAGTCTCAATAAAATACATAATCTGCAGCACATTCTAAGGCTGACCAATCCAGGCGGGAGAACGGTTAAGTGGCAGGGGCACAGGCCCTCCTAAACGGGGCGCCTGGACACCTTCTGCAGAAGCCAGTGAGGCTCAGTGCAGGCTGGAAGGACCACACATCCCAGAGACGAGCTGAAGCAGGAAAGCCCTGCACCATTTTGCCTTTTTCCCACTTTGCAGAACATGAGTCACCTGGTTGCTTTCCTTTGTAGCTAAATAAAGAAACACTCCTTAGGTCAAATAAGCCAACTTACTCTCATTTAACAAAGAGTTTTATTCAAAAGCTTCTCAGCACCATCTAGTTGTCAGAAAGAATGGGTTCACCGCTTCCTGCCACCCAGCTCCAAATCCCAGAGGCAGAAGTTACACCATTTGGCTAGAGCACCTCCTAATAATAATTCAGATCATGATAAGGTCCGGGTCATTCTCTCACCCGACTTTCTCTAAGCCTCTGCTTAACCCCGACTCAAGTAGCCTGTGGTCCCCCCCCCCTCCCCAGTTCAGAGCAGGAGGAAGGAATGTCGGACTCGATCAACCTCTCACCCTGGGCTATTAGAGGCACATAAAATACCGTGAAAAAACAGAATTCAGTGACTGCCATCCAGAAGGGACAGTGACACTGTCAGGCAGCATGCAGTTCTGAGAGCTCAAATCATAGGGTGACCCTCCCCCAACTCTACTCTAGGAACAAGGAGCTTCAGGCCCGTCCTCTCTCCATCCTCAACTGCTCATCCACTCCTGTCCTGTTAAAAGACACCGAACCAAACCTTTTGACAGAGTTAAGACAAACAATTACAGCTGATTAAAATGCGAAGCGATCCTGAGCTGCTGGGAGATGAGGAGAACAGATAGTGTAACCTGATCTTTCCCTTTATTTTCTTTAAGAATATTTGTTTCAACATAAAGCGCGCTTCCCCGAGAGGTTCCTGGAGGAGAAATCCAAGAGTCTGACTGTGTCCTGTGGGGGCACAGTCACCTGTGTAACTTTGGCTTCAGTTCCTGGATCTGTCCTTTGCAGCTGCTCCAGGTTTCACGGGCGGAGGGAAGTGCCGGCAGCATCACTTGGCCAAAGCCCCCATGGGGTCCCAGGCTGGCAGGACAGTGGGCTCCTGCTCCAGCACAGCCAGCACCTCTTCAGGGACATGCTTCCTGTCCACCACCACTTCGTAGACATACTCAGAGAACCACTCGTCAGTCATGCACAGGTAACCTGGAGGAAAGAACAGAAGCCTCATGAATCCAGAGGGCAAGGGTCAAAGAGCAGAAACCACGTGGGCACTATTTACGGCCTGGCCGTGCGACTCAGTGGCTAAAGCACTGGTCTGCACACCGAAGGCGCGCTCCTGGGTTGCGGGTTCGCGCCCTCCCCCTGGGGGCACGTGCGGGAGGCAACCCATGTCTCTCTCTCACATCGATGTCTCTGTCTCTGTCTCTTTCTCCCCACCCCCCCATTCCACTCTCTCCGAAAAGCAATGGGAAAAATATCCTCAGGTGAGGATTACAACAGCAAAAAGCCTTTTTACAAAACTAGCATCTGTACACGTTTTTCCACTTTCCCATCTATAATTTCACGTAATCTACGTCTTATTAGCAGTTCTGTGAGGCAGACAGGCATGGCTGTATTTTTACCAACTGGAAATCCGGGGCTTAGGGGAACTAAGTGACGTGCCAGCCACACGGGTGAGGCTCAGAGCTGGGCTTGGACCTGAGGATAGGATCCTGTGCTATTTGTTACTGTGCCCACCCGAGGAGGCAGGTGGAAATGCTTCCTGTTCACACAGCCACTCCGAGGGGATCAACCTCCAGGGTCAGAAGGGCAAGCACACCAGTTCCATTCTTACCCTACCACCTTCTCAGCATCACTAGCTGTCCTTCCTTCCCTCCTTCCTTCCCTCCTTCCTTCCTTCCTTCCTTCCTTCCTTCCTTCCTTCCTTCCTTCCTTCCTTCCCTCCTTCCTTCCCTCCTTCCTTCCTTCCTCCCTCCCTCCTCTCTAACCCACAACAACCTAGTAAGCTGCTAGGGGAATCCTGATGGGGCCACACCCTCATTCCCAAGGAGCCACTCATTTGCAGGTGATACTAGGGGAATCACATGACAGCGTCCTCGTCCTCGCTGTCCTAGGAGGAAACCTGTGACAAGGAGCAGGCAGGACTGGAAGACTGAGACAGCTGCTCAGCCTCTCTCCCCAGTCCCTGGATCTCTCAGTGGACAGGACTATAGAGGCACAGCTGGACTAACATCCCAGGCTGAGAGCTCAGCTGAGAGTGAGCGTGGTGTCCTTAGGTGTCCATCCCAGAGACCTGCCCATCCCTCTGAGGAAGATTAACCTCTATCGCAGATTCCGCTAGGACAACACAAGTTCCCCCTCAGGAACATACTCTCACCAACGTAAAGGGGAAAATGCTTCCCCTCAGCCAATGCTAATATAGAGAGTAAAATTAAAGCGAGAGACTAAAGTGTGGTATTTAAAACAAGACCGGGCCAGGGAGCGAGCACAGAGCACAGATGTGCACCTGCCCAGGGCACTGCACGCACCTGCACATCCAAGGACTCACAGGGACGAGCAGTCACCATTGTCACTGTCATCTTACCTTGGCTGGCATCTACTCTATCCCAGACATGAGCCAATTTTCTCTGAAAGTGTCTGAGTAAATCTAGGTCTGTGCTATACCATTGCTCACCGTATAGGACCAAGAAAGGGAGACGATGCGGCACTTTCCCAAGGTGGTCCTCTAGTGCGGCAGTTCTCAAAGCTCTCGGGCCCAGGGCCAAGACTGTACATTGAGAACCCAAAAAGTTGTCTATGTGGGTTACAGCTACTGATATTTACCATAACACAAATTAAAACAGGAAGTTCAAAATATTAATGCATATAAAAGTAAGAATATACTCCAAAACAAAATAGGCTTCAGTTAGAAAAGCGGTATTGTTTCACAATTTAATGCTTGGCCTCAGCAGACAGCTGGGCTCTTGCATCTGCCTTCTATGTCCAATCTGTTGTTCTGGTTGAAGCAGATGGAGAACATCTGACCTCAGATATTTTGCTGGAGGGAAGACCTTGCAGACCCCCTAAAAGGTCCCAGGGACCCGCAGGGGTCCTCAGACCATATTCTGAGAACTGCTGCTCTAAAAGCAAGACTATTCTAAATTATTAAAAGCAACATGCTGGTTAAAAGCATCCAAATTAAATCCTTAGCAATCAGAACACTTGCTTTACTAGATTTGCCAACTGCCAATCATGTTAGACTAAGCTAATCTGTTCCTCTTTCTGAAACTATTACGGTAAACAATAAAACTTCCTGTTATAAAAGAAGGAAAAAAAAGCAACATGATGGTAAACCTAATTTTGTAAGCTAAATGGTGTGACAAGACATTATTTAATTGAAAAACAACTGCTTTGTGAGGTCATCTATGCCCACTTCTGTTTCTGGACCTCTGACAGCTCATCTTAATGCGGTTCAGCGTGTTCACCCTCACAAGAAAATGCCCTGCAAAGTGCTCACGGGCTCTGACCTGGCCGGAAAAAGGAATACACCCTGCTCCCTGACGCCAGCCCCCCGTCCGGGGCTCCTTTCCTCAGCGGGGACGCGTGGAAGGGGAGCGCAGACGAGCACCGCAGCCTGTGACGTTTCTGGTTTCTCTCGTTATATATTCCAGAGTCCCTGGCTTTGCTCGTGTCAGTCGGTCAGGACCCTGCCCTTACTGGCCGTCACCCACACTGCTGCCACCAAGTGCCAACAACCAAAGCTGGTCAGCTGAAGGGCCACCAGCACCGTTTCTTGCTGCATCCTAAGTAATGGCTTTCTGAGAAACTCAGTATCTGCCTCCCCAAACGGCACTTCCAGTGGGCAGGAGACCCTCTGAGACATTCGTCATCGTCCCCTTACCATAATGCAGGCGGAACAAACCCCCAGAGTAGCACTGGACAGGAGGCAGGTGAAGGACAGAGGCAGAGGCATGTAATAAAGTTCTGTGTCCTTATGACAATACTATCATCACACAATCAAATGAGTCTTCAGAGAACACACAGAGAAAACGGACAATAAGCACATCTACACATCTTGTTCCAAAAGCAGATCAGATTAAGTCCTCAAAATTAAAACTCCTATCAATTGCAGTCCACCCTTTCAGTGTCCCTGCCAAGAGGACCTGCCGTGATTAGTCTCCCTCTTCAGGATATGAGTTTTTGGGGGGCCCACAAAAACCTCATAGCCTAGGGGGCCACCCAGTAATTGCAGTCCGAGCAGATAACGAACTTGGGGCTGCTGTGGCTGCTGATGCTGCGCGTCTTGGAGCTGGACGGAGATTAGGATCAGGGCGTCTGCAAGCCCAGTGAGTGCTGCGTAAGGGAGCAGCCAAGTGCCCTCTCAGGCAGCTCTGAAGAGGTCCTGTCCGTTTGAGGAAAGTTGCAGCTTCTAGCCCGTTAGCCCGCTGGCCATTAGAAAAAGTCCTTCCCCAAGGAAAAAGGAAAACCCGCTGCAGGGACCCTAAGGCTACAGTTAGGGAAACAAACAGATAAATGGATAAAGAAAGTCAGTTTTAGGAACTGAGGTGAAATTAAAGTTTGTTTAAACTTAAATGTCTTGTTTACATGCAATGAGAAAGATACCAAATACGCAAACTGTCCCAAAAAGAAACCAGCAACGTTTCTGTTTTTGTTAAGAGGCAGTATCGGTCTGTAAAGGGAGGAAGTGTGGTGAACGCACCTCTAGACCGGTCAGGCCAAATTCACTCACCACCACAGCGTTTCCAACGGGTTAGCTCAAGGGCGAGTTTAACCTTGGGGGTCCCTGCAGCAGATTTCCCTTTTTGTTTCCCTTCCCTGGGGGAACACCATGTTCTCACAGCCAGAGGACTCACGGCCTAGAAGCTGCAATTTTCCTCAAATCAAAATGACCACTTTACCGAGAAAACAGTTCTAAAATCCTACCAGACAGACATCCAAGACTAGACCAATGTGACAAATATATTTATAAATTAGATATATTGTATTTTTTTTCTTTGTTCTGTACTTTACCTCACTAGCAAACAATTTTTGGTTAATTTTTTGTTGTGGTTGCTGTTTTTAAAAAGGGTGTGATAAAATCGAGTCCTCTGTTCTGCTCTGATGAGTCTGTCTGGCAGCATGGACTTCAGGGAGCCAGACTACGGAGGCCTCATTAAGTCACTAACCATCTTTCACCTCACGGTGATAACTCGAGCCTGAAGAAAGGTTTCCAGAAAAGAAAGAAAAACCTCACTGACACTTATGTCACATTTTAAACTTCCTGACAAATAGTGAGAAACCACTCCACAGAGCATTAGTCATTTAAAATGAAATTGTGAAGACTATGTAACATGGAAAATGTTTAAAAGTGATAAAAGTATATAAAAATGGCATATCCTATATTATTACAACTATGTTACAAATTGAGATATACAGAGGGGGACATAAAAAAATAAAATAAAATAATTCTATTCCATAGGGTGGGTGATCACCCCCTAAATTTCTGAAATGTTATATTGCTTTTTGAGTCCTTAAAGATTACCAAAGTAAGTCATGCTCATTATAAATAATTTTGGAAACATGGGAAGAGAAAGAGGTGGAGAAGGGAGAAAAGGAGCAGGGGAAAGCAGTTAAGGGGGGAGACAGATGTAAACTGTAAAACTGCCTCCAGTCCCTCCACCTTGGGATGAGCCTGCTTCCAAGTTTACAAAGATCTTGGATAGTTTCTGCATGTAGACTCTACACATTTAATAAAAATGAGGTGTTGTAGATGCTTTTATTACAAAGGACCACACATGCTGTTTTCCAATATTGCTCTTTTCATATTGATTTTTTAAAAGTACATTTATTTACATAGTAATGTCTAAGTGCTGAATCTGAATGGGTAAACCGAAGTGTACCTCAGTCCCTAGCTACTGGAACCTAGATTGCTTTTCCATGCTTGGGAACACCGCTGTGAACATTTGTAACAAAGCCTTCGTTACATCCTTAATTGCAATAATGGTTGCAAACATTTTTCCAATTATGTCATTTGCCTTCTAATTTAGTTTATGATATTTTCTAACCTACTAAAACTTTTTATTTTTATGAAGTCAAACTTATCAATCTTTTCCTTTATGGCTTCCAAATCTGGTATTATATAAACATTTTTCTGCTATGATAATGAAAAAATAAATAAGAACTAAGGCCTTGACAGTCCAGCCCCCAATTATGAACACACACAA